TTCTGTAATGTTTATTAACACATTCATAAACTCTTTTATTGAAAAACCTTGTGTATTTCATCATTCAAAGGATCCGTGTGAGTTTGAATCAACATTTCTTTAATTAAATGTCCACTTATTTTAACTTTTGTTCCATCAGGAGTGGTATTTAATTGATGACTTAATTCTTGGGAAATACAAATGAAAATGTTCTGTAATTTGTACAGCAGTGAGCTAAAGATGGCTAAAGCTAACAGATATTGGTCATATTTAGAGGTCACCTATTATGCAAAATTCACTTTTTCATGTCTTTTATACATAAACATGTGTCCCCTTTTGTGTAAAGAGATTCTGAAAGTTTCAGGAACAAATATTCGCTCACTTTTTGTTCTGATCCATTTATATAAAAACCTGTCTGAAAATGAGCTGATCAGATTTTGGCCACTTTATGATGTCATAACGTGTTTTTGACACCTTATCACCTGAATCTCCTCCTAGAGCACCATTGTGTTCTTTTTAACCAAATATCTCTCAGAGGGGCGTGGGGAGTGGCTCCTTATTTTCATCTAAAGTAACAGACAGAGAATCATCACTTTTGAAACAGGGCTGAAACAGAGGGGATTATGGGATGCTACAATGATCTGTTTGGTATTTGGAGCCAAACACTTCAGAGACATGTTTTGTATATATCTGAGACCTATAATATATTGATGAAAAACAGTATAATAAGGGACCTTTAATAATTAGAGAAGAAAAGACTGACATCTGGATCATTTAGAAGGTAGAAACAGACTTGCTAGTCGTTCTTTCTCCAGGCATCTGGAAGAAACAGCTGATTTAACTTTAGGTTTTTTGTACTTGGTTGGAGAAAACAAAGATGGAGCAGACGTTGAGGGTCAAGACTTTTTCTCTCTTTCAGCGCCCACGCCCACAGTACAAACATGTTTCACTGCATTGTCAGCTGAAACAAAAATAGATAAGATGATCTCAGGTTGGAGTCGTTCCCATGCTAGAATTTACAGCACCTTGGACTTATCCAAAAATATTTTCATAGCTAATATTTTTGGTAGTATGTAAGTATGCTGATTTAAACCTGGGATAATATTTAACTCCTGTAACTGAAAACTGGCTTGTATGTATTAACTACTAAGTAAACAATTCCTCAGTCACACTGTACTATTCAAGCTAATACCCAGTTATCAGTTTGTGTGCAACTGGAAGTCTTTTATTTTGAATTCGACCCTGGCGTTTCCATGGAGATGGCTCATTTGGTGTATCGGTCCTCAGCGAGTCTTTGTTCTCAGAGATTTGGCATTATAACGTCCCAGCAGAATGCCCTCTAATCTCTGATAGTGTGTGATGGCCTCGCTGTGGCTCCCCTCTATTTTTATATGTAAAGGACAGTTGTTATGACTCTCTGTCTCTGCGGTGGAGAGCTTATGGACCCTGGATATAAAAAAGCACTGCTGTGAGGTTGTGCTATTTCTAATCAGGCCTTTTCATGTGTTGAGTGCATAAGCCTTGTGTGCCTTTTTGTATTACATAAACACAAACATATCCAATTCCAGGGTTATTTACACATTATTTCTGCTTTTGTTGCTCAAAATGATGTACTGTACTCTGGCTGTATTTCTTGTAGGAGCTCGTCAGAAAAACGTTGGATCATTTCCAAAAGGAAAGTGTGACTCATTTCCAGAGTATTGTTAGTCCTTGGCTTAAACCTGAATTACATTTACACTTACAATAACTTTAGGAAGTGATCATCTCAGTACTTAAGATATACAGATAAACTCTACATTTTGTGCTAATGTATAATCAATTTAGGTGCCCATATTGTGGTGTGTAATTGTATTTGGATGTGTTGAATCACTGTGATATTCTATTGTGATTTAATTTGTAGGGGTATTTTACACAAAGGATCCCACTTTTTGTAATTCAATTAGTTTTAGACACAACTTAAATCTTATTTCATGATATGTTTGTTAACGCAGGGAAGGGGGGTTTCCTATCATTTCCATCCCTTGACCCCCCCCCCCCCATCGTGGTACCCAGCACATGGATGATACGTAAAGGAATGGCGCATCTCTGGGATGGGTCTATGAGCAGATGGAGCCTCGTGCTCCTGCTGTGGAGTGTAGGGTTAATACCGACTGGAGGGGGCGTGGTTTAGATCATTGATGACCGCCTGGCTCACTGTAGTCAACTGTAAGAAAAAAAAGACAACAAATATCCCAGTTTTAACATCTCTCTGAGCCAGAGCATTTGCTGCCCACGCTGGACAGCTCCAGCTTCCTGCAGGAAAAAAGACGCTGCCACTTCCACGGGAGGAAATGAGTTGGCGATGTGCGGATCTGAAGGAGGTGCGACCTGAAAGCAGTGTGTGATCGCCCCTCTGCCTGCCTCGCCCCCTACCACTGATTTACTGAACCGATCCCGTGGAACAACCAGTTGAGAGGGTCGATGCATAAAATGTGAGCGGATGGGGAAACACCAGCTGGATTTGTGGGTGAAGTAAAAAAACTCGTGCAGGAGGGGAGCACACAGCCTGGGCTCTTCATCAGGACTGCTTTACGTAACTGGTCTTTGTGTAGGGACTGGCTGCTGGTGTTTGATCACGGCGAGGAATCGCAGGTAGGTCGCGTAACACTTCTGTATTCCTTATTTCTGGATTGTATTGTTGTTTGAATACAACTACACCTACGTTTATATTCCTTCTTGGTTTGACTAAACGAGCTGCTCTCAGCGTTCATCCGACAGTATGGGGGACGCGTTAGAGTTTTGATGTGATTACAAACGCCCTTTTCCAGTCATATTAGAGATTAATTCCTCCATCAGCTCAACACCGTTTGCGCATGCGCTCTAAATGACTCCAGATTACCACAAATAATGAACATACAGAGTGATTATTGCAGTGGGTCAGGCAGTCTGCAAGAAGCTGCATGTTGGGATGGCTTTGGTTTCTTTGTTAAGCTCCAGATTAAAGCAGCTGCAGTTGTGTTGACTCAATTGATGACACATTACTACAGGACGGATTACAGAGCATAGTTGGCAATGGCAGCACTATGTCATTTTTTCCTTTAAATTGAAGGTTTCCATGGTTTTGTTATTAGAGAAAGGGCGCCCCTTAGGGAGTAAATAAGACTCTGCAGCTTTAAGACTCTATTTTCCCCCATCCTTTGTTGCATCTGGTTAAATTCCCTTCTTGTCTCCCCCCCATGTAGGTGAACAGGGAGGAATATAATCACAAGTTTCTACACATCCACAGATCATGATCATCTCCCAGTGAGTACATCAAGATGAACGAGGGTCTCAGGCAGGGAGGAGGGGCTATCACTGTGGAGGCTGATGTCATCCTCCACGCCATGAACTCTGACCTCGTCACACCTCCTGACAAAGTTGGAGATTTATGTCAAAGTTACATCCAAGGATTACCGCAGGATGGCCAGGATTTCAGCCCTTCTCCAGTGTCTGAGAAGGAATACCTGCTGGATGGAAGACTGATGGAGAATAACCTCATCGAAAGGCAGAAAGGCAACGGCTCGTACTTTTCCAGCCATGATCAGTTTCCGAATGAAACGCACAATGGCGCCAGAGCTAAAGTGTTTTACAGTGCAGATTCTGCTATCCAAGCCAAACAGGAAACTGATTGGTCAGACCTTAAATTGAACTTGGAGGTCAGGGACAGCAGTCAGGAATCTGGAAAAACCCACCATCACGAAGAGCCTGATTTAGTCATCGAAGTCGGCGGGCAGAAGATCAACGCTCACAAATCTGTCCTGGCAGAGAAGAGCGACTACTTCAAAGCACGGCTGTCACGAGACATCCTGAAAGTCAAGGGGTTGAGTTACAAGACTTTGTCGACATTAGTAGACTATGTTTATACTTCTCAGATGAATGTCTCCAAGGCCAATATTGTGGATGTCATCACAGGGGCTAAAGTCCTGCAGATGCCCTGTGCCGTACAGGCGGCCATGGACTCCATGACCGAACAAATCACTGCAGAGAACTGCTACGAGATCCTGAACATCGCCAAAAAGCAGAGGCTCAGCGAACTGAAAGAGACTGCCTACGGATTCATGAGCGACAACTTCCTCCCGGTCCTCAAAGACCCTGCTGTGTACGGGCGCCTCAATGGGTCTGAGCGAGATCTGATCCTGAAGAAGAGGATGGAGGGGAGGCAGACTCTGATGGTTGCAGAGATAAATGATGTGTTTGATCGTGTTGGAAGCCGTCCTCCGAGTCGTTGCGGCAGTCGACCGCAGAGCCCGTTGTCCGGTGGGTCTTTGGAAGATAACCATATGATTTACAAATTTAACGAAACAGCAAATGACTGGAGACCTTTAACTTCCATGCCTGAGGACATTAACACTAAAGGGTGCGGGATCTGCACCATGTACAACTACCTGTTTGTGGCCGGGGGGATAAAGGGCTACGGGGAGAAGGGCAAAGTGTCAGACAAGGTCTTCTGTTACAACCCCATAACCAACAACTGGGCCGAGATCAAACCTATGACCCAAGCTCGCTCCCAGCTAAAGCTTGTGTCAATGGACGGCTACTTGTACGCCATTGGAGGGGAATGTTTGTTTACAGTGGAAAAATATGACCCTCGCATGGACCGATGGACCTCCGTGGCCCCCTTACCCAAAGGAGCCTTTGCAGTGGCCCACGAAGCCACGACCTGCGGCGGAGAACTTTACGTTTCAGGAGGCTCGCTCTTCTACCGCCTTCTGAGGTACGACACCAAGAGGGACGAGTGGCAGGAGTGCCCCTACAACAACAGCAGGAAGAAGTCCAGCGACATGGTGGCCTTCAAAAGCTTCATTTACCGATTCGATGTCAACCGCGAGCAGGGCATCACCGTGGTTAAGTACAACAGCATAGTGAAGATGTGGCACGATTGCGCATCACAGAAGCTCGGAAGCCATTTACCCTTCAGGTGTGCCGTGATCGGGAACTGC